TTGTTTTCCACCCTTTAACTTTCAGTCTATGAGTTTCTTTTTGAATTAAGTATGTTTCTTGTATGCAGCATATTGTTGGATTTTGCTTCTTGATCCATTCTGCCAGTCTGTTTCTTTTGATTGGTTGAGACTATTATCATTGATGGTTATAACTGATATTCATTGGCTTATCCTTGTTATGACCTTTTCCTGTTGTTGGATTCTCCTTCTTTGTATTTAATTTCTTGTCTTGCCTGATGGAGTCATTCTTCTGGGCTTCCTGGCATTGTGATCCTCATTGTCTTTTTCTAGGATATTGTTTAAACATTTTTGGAGTACTGATTTGGTATTCATGAAGTTCCTAAGGTGCTCTTTGTCATGAAAGTATCTTATTTCACCATCAATTTTGAAAGATAGTTTTGCAGGGTACATCAGTCAGGTTTGGAGCTTGTTTTCTCTTAGGGCTTGAAATACATCACTCCAAGCTCTTCTTGCCTTGAGGGGTTTGGGCTGAAAAGTCTGCTGTGATTGTGATGGGCTTTCCTTTGTACATGATTTGTTTCTTTTCTCTAACTGCTTGTAGAATTTTATTCTTCTGTTTGGTTTCTGGAATCTTAACTATTATATGCCTATGTGTAGATTTTTTTTGATCACGGCTAGCTGGAGTCTTATATGCCTCACTTATCTGTATGTCAAGTTCTTTTCTCCTGCTTAGGAAGTTTTCTGCCATCACTTCTGTGGACAGTTTTTTAATGTCATCTGCACTCTCTCTTGTTTCTTCATTGACTCTGATCAGTCTTAATGTTATTCTTCTTTCCATCATCTAGCAGCTGCTGGATTGAATTCTCATGGTCCCTTACTATTTTTAAGAAGTTTGTCTTTTCCTAGTCACTAATTGCAATCCTGTCTTCAATAGCTGAAATTCTGTCTTTGTACTTGCTCATTCTGATGCATAAACTTTCAATGGAGTTTTTAGTCTCCTGGAAATCTGTTTGCATCTGTTTTACAGATTCCATATGTTTGCTGTGCTGGGATTCCATCATGTTCCTCAGCTCCTCTACTTTTTTTTTTAATCTGTGTCTGTTCTAGATTTATTAATCATGCCTTGCACTGTGGGCACAATCTCTGTTATTATCTGAGAAATTATTTCTAATTTCATTTTTTCCAGATCCTCTTTTGTTGCCAGTTCAGGGAGTCCAGGTGTTTGAGTATCAGATTGTTCCACCTCATTGCCCTTTGGGGTTGCCTTAGGCTATCTGGAAGTCTGGTTTTGAGATGTATTTACATGTCTTCTCATTTCAACAGATGTAGCCTGCTGCGCCTTTGTTGAGGCAACTTTTTGTTCACCCAGTGGTCTTCAATTTTCATGAAGCCACCAAGTGACCTTTTCTCTACTGCTTTCCAGTGTACCAATTCCTGGGTTCAGAATGGTTATCTTCTGGATACCTGAAATGACCTGTTGTCTGGGCAGGATTCTGGCTGGGGCCTGTGCACACTTGGAATGATATCTAGGCATACCTCTTGCTAGGCTCTGCCCCATGTAGCTGTTGTCTAGGAGGGCCTTTGGCTGTCAGTTCTGCACCCCAGACTCTGGTGTCTGAGCAAGATTCTGGCTAGGGTCTCCATGCACTTACCAATGGAATCGGGGCAAGCTTCTGGCTGATGCTTGTGTGCCTGTGCAGCTCTTTTCTGGGTGGCCCTTTGGCTTGGGCTTATATGCCCAGGCTGCTCAGGTTGGGGTAGGGTCCTGGCTGGAATCTGCCTGCAGCTGTGCGGCTCTGGTCCACACCATTGCTTGCCAGGATCTGAGCGCACTTCTGAATTTTTAAATCCATATCTACAGTTGTTGAACTCTTAACTATGTGCTAGATGCTATTCTAAGTGTTTAATATTTAGCCTTTCATTTAGTCCTTATAATAGTCAAGCATTTATGAAATTTGAATTTTAAAGAATTTAGTGGCATTTCCAAAGTCTCTTCTGGGGCCTTTTCTTTCCCACTGAGAGACTTTCTGTCTGGAAGAAGTCACTTGCTTCTGGGACCCCAGTTACAAGGTTTTGATAATTCCCACACATACATCCACCACAGTTTCCTAGGATTGCCTAGGATTCCTGTCATACTGTGCTTGGCTGCTCATTTGCTATATCCCCATTGTGATTATAAGATCTATAAGGGATCCCTGCCGATATTCTTAGCACAAAACAATGTTTGCCATGTAGCAGATCTTGATAAAGATTTTATAGAAGAATGGATAGAAGTGTTCCACTAGTAATACGTGGCAAATTCTTGTTTAAAATTTTCTTAGTTTTAAAACGATGTTCTAGCAACATTACTCTTATTTCCTCCATCTCAAAAATAAACAGGATTTGGAATATAAAGCTAGAATAATTTAAAAGTAAAGTAGAGAGTGGGTAACTGATCAGAGTAAACTTAGACACAGCATGCAGTTCTAATAGAAGAGGTTGAAAAATCTGTGCCTACTGGTGGTAAAAGTTAGTATTCAGTAGCCTAGGAATTCAGATTCCAAAAGATCTGACTATTCTGTGAGCCACACTTAAATAAAGCAAGGTTTTATTGCATTGCTGTATTTCAAAGAAGAATTTCAGCCTACAAATTGAAGTTGAAATAAAAATTCATAATTGCTTTATTAATACAGAAGCACACTACAAAGGGACATTTTTTTCCTTTTCCATTAAAAAAGTAGTATTATTGTTTAACATAAAGGCCCTAGTCCAGAACTATTCAAAAGTTACTCTTTGCAATTGCTTGTTTAAAAGAGTGGCAGCCTAAAGTGAAGACTTAGGAGTCCCGCAGGGGGCAAAAAAAAAAAAAAAGGCTTTCAAAGCATACTTTCCATCCTCCAAGCCAGGGCTGTAATTGAATGCCTACTTTTTCTCTTTATATTTTTTTCCAAAATGAGTTTAAAAAGTTTTAGATCCCTTGCTAGTCAGTGCTTTTATTTGATCATATGTTCATTATTACTTGAAATCATTTACTTATACTAATTATAGAGCTGTGTTTCAGAGGCCCACCCTATCCACAGGATACATCAGCAGTCAGAGCTCTGTCCAGCCTTGTTCAGCACACCTGAGTGCATTAACTGTTCACCAAGGAAAACATACTCTATCATCAGTATGTGTAAATTACATTCACTACATACCACAGCAATAGAGTTGAAAATAGTGTATTGCTTTCTGTTTTTCTTTTCACTTTCTTTCTTTCCTCTTCTTTTTAAAAATGTGGTTTAAATTATCGTTCCCTGCCTTTCTTTGCCCTGTACCTAGATCTAATTTAGGTCCGGTTTTTCAACTTGGCAATATATTTCTCATCAACATAAGAAAATGCAAAGTAGAAACTCTGACATATGTCTAACCCAGAAGATACAATAGATTACATGGGGCTAAAGTCCAAAATAGTCATATATGGCATGAAACTAAAATAACTTCTCTAAAAACAGAAACACAAATCAGACAGTTGATGATCCCAGTGGGTTGTACTGGGTTGTTGGTCTTTGAATGGCTGAGATAGGCTGGGCCCACAGGACAAGGGATCAGGAGCTCATTATGTGCTGGGCCCAGATCCGGATTTTTACCACTTCCTTAATTGTCTGCTAAATTAACTATTAGCAAGAATTAACTGGAAAAGTAGTGTATTGTGGCTATCAGGTAAAAAGCAAAATGAAATACAATTAATAAAATCCCAGGGCTCTTTATGTTTTGCAAAGAAGAATTTTTGAAAAACTTCCAGTTTTTTAATCTTTATCTGAAAAATTAAGTAATTCACTGATTAGGTCTCTCAGTAATACTGTAAGGAGGACTCACACAGGTTGACAGTAGTCCAGATTTCTTGTCTGACCACTCAGTGTTAGCTACAAGATGCTGATTCTCTTATAGGGCCCAGAAATCTGCATTTTAAACAGTACTCCAAGCACTCTGTAACCCATCTTTTGAGAAAAAATAGTCTAAATGAATCTTAAAGATCTAATCACATTAAATCACACCTTCTCCTACTCAGAGGCAAATTCTGTTTCGTTTCGTAAAGTATTGTTGATTTGTGTCCTGTAATGTAGGATCACATTGCAGGAGTTTTGAGATCCTGAGAAAATTTCTTCTTCCTTAAACCTGAGTTCTCTTATTTTAAATGGAAAGTTTTTCCACTTAGATCTGTATATCATATCCTTTTCATTAGACTCTTTGCATTTCATTTTTAATTCCTCAGTAAGTAAAATCTGTTTGGCTTTAAAAGTATTCACTGGCTTAAATAATATAAGAACCGAACATAGTGTGAGGTTATAATAACATCTCTCATATCCATGTATAAATATCTATTCAATCAATATACATTTATTAAACATCTGGTATTTATCCTGCAGTCTGCTAGGTCCTACATGCGCTTAGTATAATGGAGACAAAATGTCTAAATAATGGACTCTTTGTTTATTGTGTGGAAATTCTTTTTGTATGAGCAGTTAAATGCTTCCTTAAATGTTAAGTATTTGTCATGGGAATAAATCAACCAAAAATATCCAAAATCTTGAAGACTTATATTTAATCAGAGTGCATATACCCAGACATATCCACTATAAAGATGTATTGAATTGTTTTTCTTTTTAACAGCTTTAAATATTCTTCCTTCTTGAATGCATGTATATACACACAAATACACACAAGCATATGTGCTAAGTTTTAAAAATCAAAAGACAAAACAATGTATAAAATTGAAATGATTTTCTTCTCTTCTATTTGTTCTTTTCATTTCAGATGATGGGAAATTATCCTTTGAAGAATTCAAAGCATATTTTGCAGATGGTGTTCTCAGTGGAGAAGAATTACATGAGCTCTTCCATACTATCGACACACATAATACTAAGTAAGGAAATTTTTTATCACTGGATACTCTAAATGAGGTAGAGAGAATGTGAATGAGTACGTACTCATGAAAGAGAGAAAGAGGAAAGATGTAGAGTATATATTTTGTAATGCTCACCTATGTTAATCCTGAGATGTTAATTCTTTTTAAAAAATGGAAATATTTTGATAAACTGATTAGAGAGCTCTCCTGAAGTAACTTTAGATTCTGCCCTTTTTATAGAATATAAAACAGAGATGATAAATAATTCTGTCATTAATAAGAAAATGGAACTTTGCCTTATTACTTTGGCTTCTCAGTATTCTTTGTTTAAAAATTGTTCTTAGGTCATTCTTATATTAGTATATGAAATGGAAAATTGCAGTAGTTTTCTAGATAATTTGGGTAGGCTGAATTTCAAATCATTTTTATCTGAGAGGTGTAGGTAATATAGGATACAGAATTATCTCTGAATACTAGAGGCATGCAGTGACCTATTTTATTTATTTTACCTGTCTAGAGCTCTCTTTTAAGTTAGTATAACATTCACAGAGAAGGTTCTATTTATAGTCTCACTGTACTTAAAGATATAAAATAATGAGGACTTCAGGATATAGAACAAAAGAAATGTGCGCCTTGTTTTGGGTGATTAAACCAAATCATATTATTTGTGACAGTCCCAATTACACAATTCTGATGTGGAAAATCACCATTTCAGACATTCCTTGAGACCCATCAGAGTGTCTACTGCTAGAATGATCACTATCTTGCTTTAGGCAAAGCATACAGATGGTTCCAGACAATGAGCCAGCACCCTAAGAAAATGCTCTTGGGCTGCATTTATGAGCAGATATTTTCTTGAAGCAAACTATTAAGAAAATTAAGCAATTGAATTCAGTTTACTCAAGCAGCTGAATATTTTTAAAACAATCCATTTCTGAGTTTCTTGTATTCATTGGGGTTTTAAATTTTCTAGGAAATGGTTTAAGTATATTGTTTTTGGAAATAGTACTAATGTATAACAGAATCAAAAGTTCCATTCTATTCCACAAGTCTACCATATGTAGTCTCTTGTAGGTACCCGTATTACAGTGTGGAGCCAGCCTATATAATCACTACCTAATCAGTTTTGTATCATCTCATAAGTACTGTGGTTGAGGCATGCGTGGGATACTTTAGGAGATATTTTCACCCAATTTAGTAGGCTAAGGAAATTTTCATAGAAGCTGAGTCATTGCTGAGGTAAAGAAGGGAGAAGAGAGTTGGGGAGAAGAATATTCCAGTCAGAGAGAAGAACATCAGAGAAGGTCTGGAAACATCAGGTGAATAGATGTGACAGTTATTTTCTTATCACTAAAATGCCACATATAAGACTCAGAATGAAAGTAGATGAATGTGGACAGTAAAGAGTCAGCTAAACAAGAAGGAATTTGCAGTCCTTGATTACAGAGGTGTTAAATTTGTCCTGTAGGCCCTGGCAAGCTGTTAAGGAACTTGAGCTGGAAGTGACATATTTTTAGGTCACTGTGGTTCCACTGAAGATGCTTAAAGGGGTGGAGAGGGAGGAAGACTATGATGATTTTAGTTGCACTCTTAAATTGCTACTGGGGAAAAATCATACATAGAAGAAAGGAAGCAATGCTGTACCATTCTGAGAGTTGAAACTTGAGAGAAAAACAGAGCAGCAGCCTCTTTTGTGACTTGGCTGTTGAAAGTTAAGATACCAGTATTCCAACCATTATGCTCATTATTTCTTTATTATATCTATTATGAACGTTTTAATACTGTCTGGATTTAGAACATTTATTGAGAATCAGGGTTTCAGTATTTGGCACTTTGCATATTTGTCAATACATATTTACTGATGCTAAGGAAAAACAAAGTTTTCAATAGATCTTGTTGGCCTGGTTTTGGTATTTTATTTACATATTTGTCAGTTCAGATTAGCTTTATGATTACTAAGGCTATTAATCTTAGCTTTAAGATTACTAAATCCTAAAGAAGTATGTGTAGTAATTTATACAGCCAGTCTCCCAAAGGAGTAACTATCATTACTAATTACTTTCATATGCTTTAGTAACAACAATATGTGCTCTTTGATAGAACAACATTCAACTTACTTTAGAGCTCAAGTATATTAGTTGGAGACTTCTGAATTATACCTGTGAATGTCCTTTAACAAAAGGATGCCAGTGTCAGGCTTTGATCTTTTACACAGATTAATTAAAGCTTTGGCACAGAAATTTCAGAGCTTTGTTTTAAGTAAGTGATAGCTTTTACCTTTGCATGATACAACATTTAATTATTTTAGTGATTGTACTATATATGCCAGTTGTTTTTCCCTTTCTGCACACATTCTAAGAATGTATTTATCCTCTCTACATCCCCAGCCATACTCTAATTTACTCAAGAGCCCACCCTGGCATGAAGGGGCCAATTCATATGTAGAGTGGATGGAAATAACCACATTCACTGTTTCTCCCTGTTCATGATGAATTGTGAGAGTCACAGTTCATGAGCATCTGATGTTTAGGCCCTTATGGCCCAGTTCTTGCCGCTCCTGATATCTGGTGGTTTAACTTCATCTTGGAATCCACTAAAACAGTATCTGCTTAATACTGCCTTTTCTTCAAATAATTTGAGTGAAATTCTGTTCCTTGCAAAAGTATATTCTAAGATGGTATTACCTCAGCTCATTTCTGTCATCTATGGAAACCCGTCTGTTTGCTACAAACATATTTGCCATATTTGAAAAGTCACATCTCTCCTTTGAAAATATTTGGAAAGATAGAAGGAAAATACTGAAAATATATCTTGCTGCTTAAATTGTCCTCATATCATGAAGAATATTCTTAAAATATTTCACTTGATCATGTAAAGCAAATATTGTTTAGAAGTATAATTATAGCTTGTATTCATATTGCAATATAATAAATATATTTTAAATATCAAAATTAAATAAGTTCTTTGTAAAACGACATTTAAAAAACCCCAGCAGGTAAAGCTTTCAGAAGTCATTTCTTACAGGTAGCTTTTAGATGAATGAGCTGTAAGTATAGAATAGTAAAGTAATTTTTTTAAAAGTTCTGACAAAAACGTAAATATACTTCCTTCTCCACACACATGTAGATAGCAGTCTTAATTTCCAAGTCTAACTCTGTTGGTTTTTCTTTCATTTCTTTTTGTTTGTTTAAAAATTCAGTATCTTTATTGGAGAAATTATCTTAAGAAGATTTCGCTATAGTTTTTACTTTCTATGAGCTGGAGTTACTTGTATCTTTTCAGTCAAATGTCTTCCCATGGATACAGAGCAACTAAAACAATCAGAAAAACACACCCAGCACATGTAACCTGATAGGAACTTACACATTTGAGACTATGCAAATATTTCTATGTGCAAATATTACCAAGGTTGAAAGTATTTGAGGTTTGAAACAGAATGTTTTTTTAAATTAATTTTATTAGCACATTTTTGACATACATAATGATCACATTCATCATAGGGAATTTGTACCTGTACATAGTATAATCTTAATTTTTTCCCATTCCCCTCCCTTCCCTTCAATTCTTCTTCTCCTCCCCATTTACAAAACTTTGTTTCTATTTATTACCTTCCATTTTTTAATATCTCCCCTTCCTTCCCTTCCCCCTCTCCTTCACTAGTTCCCTTCTCATTTGAATGTTTTCTTCCTACTTTCCAATATCTATCCTCCATTTTCAAAACTAAGCTATCAACCTTACATCCCACGGTGCTGAGGAGAATGCCTGGAGAGTTGTAGACGCAGTCAGGCCCACAGTACCATAAGCTTGAGCCCGATACTCAGAATAATCTTATCCTAAGGAGAATTATGTGAGTCATCCAATGTATTTGATGCTGTTTGATTAGATTCCTAGTATGGTGAATTTTTTGCCAGGACTTGTGTTCCTTATCTGTACAGACTAGAGATTCAATGCAGACTTGAGACTTTACAAGTGAAAGGAACCCTCAGTGAAAGCAGGAAAAATTTGAAGGCATCACAAGCCCAACTTTCTATCACTTTTTTAAATTGCTATTTTAAATTGATAGATTTTTTCATTGTGTTTGGACATTTGGAACATTTTCCTGAGTGTTTTCCTGCAGAGAGTGATTGGTTCAGAGTGAAACAAAAGCCTGGCTTATTTCTATAGATGATGGTTGGGATAGGTGGTGTGAAAAAGGAGGAGATGGTCAAAATATGAGATTTTGTTAGTAGAGACATATATTGCTGAAAAATTTAACTTTCCCAAATTGTAAAGGAAGTGCATACCAGCTAATATTTCAGAATATTCTGAAAGATGTCATGTCAACCTTACTAAAATTTTCATAATTTCAAGATTTTTTGTGAAAGTTTATGTTAACTGCCGACTTCCTGGGCCAAATATGCCTACTTCTGCTTTGGCTTAAAAAAAAGAATTGTTAATTTCTCAGTCAGTTTAATTGGCCTTAATGCAGCTCTTCTTGATGGATTAACTATTTTATAAATAGATAGATTTATAAGATTTTCATAGATTTTCCTCAATTTTTTATATCCTTTTATTGATACATTTTAGGTATATAGTATAATGACATTCATCATTGGAAATTTGCACCTTTACATAATCTCTCTTGGTTCTTATTT